TCTGTATTTTGTGCATCTGACGTACAGGACATACTGGTTGTAGGTAATTATTTTTCCCGATACATATCCTAATCGGTAAACTACAATTAAACAATGGTAGGTAAATGCACATGGAGGTTGGTGTTTTTGAATTTCACAGTTTGTTTCAAGGTTGCTGTCATGGTCACCGTTATGTAGATCAGGCATTTATGGTGAGGTAGCTTACTAAGAATATTATGAACACTTCTGATAATAGGCTGTACTAAGAGGAGCGATAGAATTACAGGTAGGTTGGTAGGAGGGCATAAACCAACAGTAGGTATAACTGGTACAGGTACTTGATTAAAGTTTTGTTATAAGTATTGTTTGATACTTAGTTTTGTTTTATGTTTTGTTTTAAGTATTCCTTTAATACTTGGTTTGTTTTAAGTATTATTTGATACTTGATTTTGTTTTATATTTTGTTTTAAGTATTGTTTTGATATTTAAGTGATTTTACCAAAGTGTAACACTTCATACGTTTGATTAGTTCGTTCATACTAGAGATGAACAGATTTGTGTATTTAAAGACCACCTGATTCCACAATGGAAGAGGCAGACTTCAGCGGACAGTATTGCAATATACTTGGTTGAACAGTTACTCTTTAGTCTTCCCAGTATACCTTTGAAGCCTTCTTTAGTTTGCAGCTCTTGTCTCCTTTCTGGTAGAGCAGGCTACTTTTCAACCCTTGTACCTTACTCTGAAAGGTGATTAACCCCTTGTGAACACATTACTGAAGGGATAGAATTACAGGTAGGTATGTAGATAGGCATTTGCAAACAGAAGGGATAGAAATATAAGTAGATTAGTAGGAGAGTATTTACTAATTTAAACAGGAGAAAAACATATAAGAAAAGATAGGATGAAAATATAGATAGGGAGTTGGAAGAGTATATTCTAGTATAGATATGAGAAAGTCACTTGCTTTCATGCATTACCTTTTGGTAATCTGCAATGATTACATGGTGATATAAATTTCAAAAGAGAAGCCATTGCACTGTAAATCTACATTGTTTTCTATAAAATAGTTTTCCTTTACAAAGGCTACATTTATCATAGTTCAAGTTGTTTATTTTCTGGAAATAGGAAGGAATATTAGAGTACTGATTTGGAAATTAAAGATATAGAATCAGTTTAATAATGGAAGTCAGGTGGTAATATAATATTATTTACTTTTCTCACTCCATGCTCCTTTCTGCACTCATTTGTCATTGCAAATACACATACAATATAAAGGCATCGAGAAAGTTCACTTCTGTTATTAGGATAATTCTCCTAATTTAGTTAGCTTATTTGCAAGGATTCTGGTCATGTTTGTCCCATTCCTTGTGTGGATTGTTCCGGAATATGCCCTTGGCGATTGATTCCACGCACTGAACTTCTGATGATATTCCGTCCGTCTAAGAACCAACCAACTCCACACTCTTTCACACAGCGCAATGATTAAGTGCTTCAGTCGCGTTCCTTTGGCACTTGTTAGTTTTTCGGGGACAGTTAGGTGCTTCTCCTCACTAAGAAAAAACTTGGTGTCAACAAATAGCCCGACACTACCGATACAAAATTTCACTCTCCCTTCCTAACAATTCCTCTATGTCTTTATCAGTTTATCTCTTCTTATAATAGCAATCACAAACATTTTAATCCTCCTGCAGGTAAAAGATGCATAACAGGATTTTGCTCGTTGCGCTTCCACAAAGCTAATACGAAGCGCCAGAGGGCTATTCCGGCCATCATGTCTAACAAGCAGGCGAAAACTCCACCTAAGGAGAGACCGAGGAAACTTCAAAGAAATTAATTGACCTAGAAATAGCGCCCAAGAGCTCCAAAGGGCAGGCCAAAGCCCAGGGAGCATGGGACTAGGGGTCAGAATAGGATTCGATAAAGGCTAGGAGAACGCGAGTTGAGAGGGAGGAAACAGACCTGATGCTTGCTAATTTACTGACTCTCGCCCAACCTTCAAGTGTACTTTCACAGCAACAACACCTTACCGACAACAGACAAACGAAATGCAAAAAAACCCCGTCTAATCGAGGGCTACTGCTGGCCATGCTCATGCTATATTCAACACTATAACTACCCACATGTTGTTCCTACAGTGACTCATGCATTCATGCACCCACCCGGGTGTTCTGGCCATCTGCGCAGCTGCGCTATCCTAGCCTGTTAGGAATTAACACGCTAGCAGGTATACGGTAGTTGGGTAGTCGGCCACCACAACCTATCACTCGTGCCTGTGTTTTGGATACCAAAAGTGTCTGTTATATAGATCGTCTGGAGTGAAACCCCATCATTGCAACTCGGAGGCCCATGTGGGCCTCTGTAGTAGAAGGAAAGATTGAGGAATTATCTCAAGACGAGGGGTTGATGAGAAGGTCGAGAGGAGATTTAGAGATAAGCAAGGCGATGATGGATGAGCTTGAATGGGTATTGGGCGGCATTTCCAACCTCAAGATGGAGAATGGGTGTTATCCCCCGGATGAGGATTCAACTTAGAATCACCTTTTGTGTGTATTTTTTTTTCTTTCCTTTTTATAGATAGTATCCCCCCTCCCAGTAAACTGTAGGTAGATGGAGAGATATATTATGTTGTCGCGCCGCACTAGGTGTGCTCCTGGGGGTGCTGTTTGTGTAACTTTATTATTCAACATGACTATAATGACCCTTATTCGAAACCAACGAGGATTCTGAGAAAGCTCCCATGTATAGTATGATATCTATCATACACGCTCGTATCTACATACTCGGATCTACAACCTGCCCGTTCGCGATGCCATGAATGCAGCCTTCTGTCCCCGTCACACACACCCAGCCCCCCCCCCCAGCACGATACCCCAAAACACATCCTCCCCTTCTCTTAGCATCTTTCTCCAGCGACCGGATTCCTCTCTTCCCTATCCACAACCCAACCAACCCACCTGTTCCTTATACAGGTAAGCGAGTGTAGTATTTAATTTACAATATCCCGTTAAACTATTCACCTCGCTAAGACATTTCTAGCTTCCGGGTAGACATAGCAAGTTATATGCTATGGTGTCGTAAACTGGAGGTTAAGGGGTATGATTAAGTAATAAGGGGAATTAAGAATAATGGCAATAGGTAAAGGATAGGAAGGAGAGCAGAAGGCTGAGAATGAGGAACTTCAATAGAGGTTATCGGGAAAGATCCTGGGAGAACATATCCACATCTATCTCTCAGGGTGATTACCGGGGCCGGCCGGTGGTTTTTAAATAGCTCCCTAGGGGTAATTCGAGTGCACTCCCCATATGCACAGCGGGGTGAGCATAAACCCCGTAGAAACTATGTGGATATCAGTGTGACTTGCAGCATTTCTAACCTTCCAGTTTGCCAGCCTTGGAACTAGGAAGGACCACGGGAGATAGTTTCTTCTTTTCGGGGTACCCGCACGCCCTACCGGCTAAGAGCCGAACGGAATGTTTACTCAGGTGACCTGTCTGAGGCGGTAACCGCTACCAATTAGCCACCACCCCCGGCCTCGTATCACCTACCCCCCACGTCATACTGTTAGTACCTTGCCAAAGCATCCCTCTCAGGTTGGCCTTTATATATTGCTTATGCATACGTTCTGCTTGTAATCCCACTTGACTCGGACACCATACCTTCCTCTTCCTAATAAGTGCCCCATCGTCCCCTAGAGCTAGGGGGTATAGTTCTACCTTAGTTGGGGAGCTCGCCAAAAGTCTCGTCATTACTAAAAGTAGCAGGTAAAATAAAGATGGTTTCTAAACGGAAGGCTTATGCACAATTTAACCTTCCAAGTTCTCTACATCAGCATATTCACTTCACATGCTTGCTTTCTTGGAGAGATAAATTCACGAATCATGAAGCGTCACCTGTGGCGCTCCGCTCTGTCCTCTCCTCCCAGCCCTGGACGCCACTGCATTGCCCTGTGGGACCTGCCGCCCGATCCAAAGACGGCAAACCTAAGGTATCATCACCCTAGACAAACAGTAAGAGGTCATCTAGTCCACCCCTAGGCTCTTGGTAGTCCCCCCCCCCCCGGCCCACTCACCGCTGGGATCACTGCATATATGTAGTAGAAATATGGTAACTTTTTTTTCCCCTTCGACAAATAGAACCTAAGATACTAAGCGAGTGTGCGATATGATATTTTGGGCCAAGCACGGAACTTATGAGTTTTGCATCGTTTCCGGTACCATGTGCAGTGTGCGGTACAACATGCAAAAGATGTGCAATTTACTCAGCGACGCAGCTACCTTAAGAACCAGAATAATTGAGAATCCCGCCAGGAAGCTGAAGTTGTGTCTTTCTCAGTAAGATTTGTTTGGCTTACTTTTTATTTGTCCGAACTAAGGGCTAAAAGAGAATCTTCTCGCCTGTTTTTCTCCTCTTAACCCAAAGGTGGGAATTCTTGACTCCTTTTCGTTATTTCTAATTAGTCTAGTTCTTGTGGTAATGACTTTAAATGCTCCCACGTAGAGTATAAAAATCTGGGAGCCTACTCCACCGAACTGTGGTAGTTTGCGCAGGTTCTCCTTTCAAGGTAGCCTCCATGCAGCCAATGTGCGAAAGTGAATACTTTTAGAATGGTTTAGAAAGTCAGTGTCCAGCCTCAGAGGATTGTACTACCCTACACACACACAAAACAACGGAACCGCTAGCCGACAGTGCGACAGCCCCAGAAACAGAGCAGGCTGAGAGCGGAGGGAGAAGCGAAGGTCCTGGTAAAAAGGCCAACAAAAGCAACCGCTAACTATCCAGATGCCGGGGGAGCCCCGCGCACACTCCCGTATGCAACTGGATTCCAGAGGTATTTGTGTATTACAATTTGAAGATTTTGAGCTAGATTAGCTCAAGGACATCACGCTTCGCACTTCCCCCCCGCCAATGAGGTGATTGCTTATCTGCAAGTATGAGGTTGGTTTCACACGTTTTTCCACGAGGCTGATAAATATATCTACTCTCCGGCCCCTAGAAATTCCATAAACACCTCCACTTTGGAACCTTTTCTCCTTACCACTCCAAGTCGCGAAATACGGAAAATGTCTCGATCCAATGATATCCAGCACAAGTTTCCTGAGGGCGGCGCGAATCTCCACTCAAGTCATCAGACCGACGGCGACCTTGGTCCCTATAGCGACAGCTACCCAGATGCGAGGCCAACTACCCCTCCCGATGCCGGCAATTCGCCCAATATCCTGGAGCTATCCTCATGGTCCAGCAGTCCCGATTCTGGGGGCGACATAGAGACCAACCAGCCAAACGCTCTATATTGGAGCAATATTATTGCCTTTGCCGGGGCCGGCAGGTAAGAAAAAGTGGCTCATATCCCTGAAATCCCCTCAAGAGCCTATACTCATTATCGTGGGCTAACATTATATCACCTTTTGAGCTAACAGTCCCTCAAACTCTCACTACCCAATCCCCTTCGCCACTGCAGAGTGCGACCAAGGCCCTGATACCCTCGATCCTAAACCCCTCAGCTGCCACATGTGTAGAGTAAGGTTTGGGCGCTCGGCGGATTTGAAGAGGCACATGGATACGGCCAAAGCGCATAATCCTCCGAAGGGGCCATCTTGCCCGGTGCTCGGCTGCAAAAGTGTTTCGAAATTTACAAGGCTCGATAATTTCAAGGCTCATTATGTAAAGATGCACAGCAAGAGTTGGGAAGAAGCGGAGAATTTTATCCAGGAATGGAGGGCTCAAGAGGCACTAGGCATTTCGTATAGGGCGGGTGGTGATGTTATGTGAGAACAGGCGGGGATGGAGTATAAGCGGAAGATATAGAGGAGTGTTGATAGATCTCTCTTCAGGGGGGCTGTAATGATAGAGCGCGAGGATGTGAGTTGGTGACAAAGCTCTATGTCAGGGTACCAGACACTGCCAATGTCCAGGGAGGAACTCAACACTATCTTAGGCTCTGCAGCTCCAAGGCGAGGGGCTGAAGGGTGGGGTCGAGAGAGGGGAGATTGAGGTTAGCAAGGAAACATGAGGATTGGTGGGCTTGAGGGCGCAGTGGCTAGCCTTTGCGAGATGCAGACAGAGAACATACCTTATTCCCTGGGCAGCAGTTTTCCTTATAATCACCTAATTCGTGTACTCCCGTTCTTGCCCTTCTTACCGGTAGCATCTCCCCTCCCCTCTGATAAATTATGGGTAGATAGAGGGATATATTGTGTAGTATTGCCTCTGGGACCCACTCGTTTTACCACTTGGATCCCAAGCTCGGATGATCACTGAGGGAGATAAATATGAATAGGCTCTTCTCATATCCTCTCCGCCAACCTCTATTCACGTTCCTGATTCTCAATTTCCTCATTCTCAGTCACCCCCCCTTTATCCACTGCCATCATTCTCCTCTTCCCGTATCACTCAACCATGTCTTCCAACCCTTACCCTCGCAATCACAGTATATCACTCACCACACCTTTCGGGAAATCAGCAATGTTCAAACTAGGCGAACAACGTTGAACAAGGATATCACAACCGAAATATGACACCTCAGGATGTCTACCTATGTAAGAGATAACGCTATTATTTTGTGTTACAAGCATGGGGAGGGCACGCGGTCGTCGGAGAAAGAAGGAGGAGAAGTAGAGGCTACGTTTTGGGGCACCGCGCTGGTGCGGGTTGGGTATGTGGTAGTAAGAGGGGGGAGGCTGCAATGCCGCTGCATACATGACATTGTAAATAGGCATTTCGTAAGTCCGGGTGTGTAGAGTGTGTATCATAGATACATGAGAGCTTTCTCTAAACCGTCCCTAGTATTGAATGAGGGCCCGAATCTGCGGGAACTACAGCCGCGCAGTGTAGTAAGCTGCAAGGCTTGTACTTCGGAGTTACCAAAGTCCTTACAGTAAAAAATTGAGTAATGGAGAATGGCGGTAAGACTTCCAGAACCCCCGTCCTCTCGTTGAGGGGAGGAGACAGCTGGAACATTCTCTTTTAGCACTCGGTTTAGACAAATATGGTAGACTTATAACAGATCTTACTGGGAGGAGCGACTCCAACGCCTCACCAAGATTTCTAATTTCATATCATACCACAGTTTCCCTTACCCCTGTGCTGGTGATTAGAGTATACATCTCCTGACATCACCCCACACACAAGAAATTACCTTTGTGCGAACCACATGGGGCCCAAAGAGACTGGGCCCCAAGCACAGTTTTTCGGAGGTGGCATTTCTAGAAGCCCATAAATTTTAACTAAGGTTTATTGTTTGAGAAGCTCTTATGATTATTCATTAAGTAAAATCAAACATATAATATTAGAAAACAAAAATTACTTTAATGATTAAAACAGATCTCCTCCCCTAACCCCACTACTGCTATAAAAGGAAGTAATGCAAATACATTGTGGAATCAATATCTAATATACCATCTATCTGATTTAATGACTTCAAGTTCTTCCATTCTATCTAGCATTAATTCTACTCTACAAAAAATCAAAATATTTGGATCCAGCAGTTCCCGACAAGCAATAACCACTTCTACTACTCTTTATTTTTTGTTGGATAACTGTAAAGAATAGGAAGCACAGTATTTAAAAAGAAAAAATTGGGCAAAAGGGTTAGGTTTTAGTTGAGGTTGAGTAATTTCTTTAGGTATGGTTAAAAATGAGGCAACGAGGATTGTTGCAATATCTCGGAGCTTTGATGCACGGTTAATGTGGTTGAACCATACTAGAATCTGCATCTCCCACAGGAATTAAATATGCAAGAAAGAAGCCAAAATTCTTGATGGCACTGTCTGATATCTACTCTTGTTTTTTTCTTCCTATAAACCTTAATTTTTAATTGAGTTCTTGTCTTAATATTATTATCCCAACTCATACGATTCACTATCTGTTAAGCTGCTAATCTCGGGATTCTAAGACAAAAGCTCTTAAGAAGGATTAGTGATTTCCTGATATGGTATATTCTGAGCGAATTGGCTGCCTCGGATCTCATTAATTGGCGCTCTGAACTCCGTTAAACTTGCAAAGCTAAAGCCTATCTTGGGCTGAGGTCGCGATCTACAAGGTATTCGTGACAGGACGAATCGCAAGAGTCAATACGGTACAGTAAAACTTCTTGAAATCCACTACCCTCCCCTCTGGCAAAGCACTAGCTTGGGGGGATGGCGGCTACTAGATGCGGCATCGTGGGATCCGTCAAATCGTTAACCGGTGAGAGGTTGTGCTTAATTTCATAGGGGGTACCGATACAGTACTTCATGAGACTTAGCTGCTGAGATTTCTGGTGGCTGGAGACAATGGATGTTGAGAGATCTTTCTGTGCCGTATTGTGGATACCGTAGTCTCTACCCGAGCAGCGGTTGTGCATACCAAGTTTGGTTGGCCCAAAGACATTCCTGGAGTTTTTCCCTATCAACGGGGTGGCTATGAGTTTACCCGTTCGGTAACACGTGGGTTGCGCGAGTCCGGCGCCTAGGCTGAGCCTCCTTGATAAAATCCCACCCCTTTTCAGCTCCGGGAACTTCACAGATCATCTGTTATACTAGCACACGACGAACCCCATCCTCCCTACTATCTCAAGCTGTGAAACATTGAAAGTTCTTGGATATTTTAATAATTCCGGCCACTTTAATAACATTACGGTTGCTGATAACCGGTCAGAAATCCTGACCTGGTTATCTCCCTTAGACCCCCGAACACGGCACCAGGGCGTTCAAACTCGGCGTGTTGAAAATGTGGGAGACTGGCTCCTACAAACCGACCAATTCAGGAGCTGGTGTGATAGCAGTGGCGATAGTGGACCCAAAAATGCAACACTATTTTGCTATGGTGACCCAGGTGTCGACAAAACATATATCAGGTTAGAGAGAACATCCGCGAGTGGAGAAAGAGTGAAAGGGGGGGGGGTGAAAGAGAAAGAGGTTGTGCTAGCAAGTAGATCTTAGTTCCCTAGTTATAGATAGATTGTGCGATTGGGCGGGGGGGCAAAGGATTGCTCTTGTCTGTTTTTATATTGACTTCGCCGCCCGGAGAGAGCAGTCTCCAACTAATATACTGGGCTCCTTATTGAAACAGCTCGTCAGCGGATTATACAGCATTCCAGAGGAGGTGATCGATGCGTTTCATGCCAAGAGGATGCTGATGGGTGGCCGGACGCTGCGACTCGCTGAAATTGTGAAGCTTTTCCAGACTATAGCGTCCTCACAGCGCGCCATTATATGTGTTGATTCTCTTGACGAACGTGCCCCGGAGCATTGTGTAGAGCTGCTTGATTCGTTACGGCAAATTCTACGGGTGTCCCCTGAGAACCCGACTATTCCTAACCGGAAGACCCTATATGTTCGATTTGGAAGGACAGCAGGAGATGTAAGTCTCCGAGTTGGAATATCTTTAGGCAAGTATAGGCAAATGAATGAAATCTTTTGAAACCGGTAAAGAATGTGAAGCTCGGACGATTGTCAACATTCACCTCCACTACGTGAGATGTCCCACTATTTAAATACATATGAAAAGAGGACAAACTGTTACGAGAAACAAAAAACTATAACACGTAGCATTATCCAACACTAGCCAGTCTTACCACCATAGCAGATACGATTCATAAACAGAACAGGTAAGTGTGAAATTGGCTATACCAAAGCGGAGATGATTCCACGTAAACATGGTGGAAACATCACGTATATCGATATCAAAATATCATTATGCGCAAGACGTTACGTCAACTACATTTATCAACACTATATTCGGGACAAGATTGAAAAGAAGTTTGCCGGAGCCGTAACCGTCGTTTCCATATCGCCCAGCACAAATGATATTATCAATTTTATCCGCCCAAGACTGAGCAAGGACGAAAATTCCGGACACAATGAACGGTAGCCTTGAGGCAGATATTTTAAGCAGGATTCCTGAGGCTATATCGGAAACGTATGTGGAATCATCAATGGGAGGTCCACCCTAAATCATGCATAACAGACTTGTATCTAGATTCCTACTGGTTTCCCTCAACACCGAGGCAATCTTGCGAGAAACAACAACCCATCGCAGGCGACAGAGGCTTAACGCAATTACGAACGGCTCAAACTTAGGAGATGTATATGGGGCAACGCTAGAGCGGATTAGCGCTCATGGTATGGAAAGATCGGGGCTCGGGATGGCCGCCTTGATGTGGATTTGTCATGCTGAACGACCCTTGCAGGTGGATGAGCTCTGTCACGCTCTAGCGGTAGAGATAGGAAGCGCCAATCTCAATCCTGAAAATGTCCCTTCGATCGGGACATTACTAGACTGCTGTCAAGACATTTTCACTGTGGATCAGGGAGCGTCCGTTGTGCGCTTGGTCCACCTCACCCTCCAGGAATATCTTTGCTCTCACCACAATGACCTTTTCAGCAGTGCCAACTCTATGATGGCAGAAACCTGCTTGACCTATCTGAATTCTCAGCAGGTGAAGGGTCTTTCGGCCAATCCCTTTGCTAGCCCTCGAGACGCACCCTTCCTTAGATACTCTACTAGGTATTGGGAATTCACGCAAAAATTGAGCTGTCAAACTGCACGCGGTTACTTGCGCTGGAGCTATTCAACCAGCGTGATGGGAGCATATGTGCTAGATCACTTATACGGCAAGTATGGAGTTGGGGCCCCGGTAAATACGATTCCAGTTCTGTCTTCACTGGACTACACTATGCATCTTTCTTCGGGATTAGTAAGCTTGCGACTACTTTGATAGAAATCAAAGGTTTTGACATAAACCAGAGAGGTTGTGTGGGTTTTACACCGCTCATGTGGGCAGCTATGTATGGGCATTTGGATATAGTGGAGCTACTTCTAGGGCGGGGAGATGTTCGCCCCGACGAGCCGGATTATAGCAACCGAACAGTACTCTCGTGGGCTGCGAGGAATGGGCATGATGGAGTGGTGAAGCTGCTGCTAGGACGGGAAGACGTTAACTCTGACAAGCCAGATAATAACAGTCGAACACCACTCTTGTGGGCTGCGCGGAGTGGACATGATAGAGTGGTTAAGCTACTACTTGAACAGCGAGATGTCGACCCTGACAAGCCAGATGATAACAGCCAAACACCACATTCATGGGCTTCAAGAAATGGGTATG